AATAATAATAATAATAATAATAATAATAATAATAATAATAATAATAATAATAATAATAATAATAATAATAATAATAATAATAATAATAATAAAAAAAAAGTTGGAAGGGACCTTGGAGGTCATCTAGTCCAACCCCCTGCTCAGGCAGGAAACCCTATACCATTTCAGACAAATGGCTGTCCAGTCTCTTCTTAAAAACTTCCAGTGTTGGAGCATTCAACGCTTCTGGAGGCAGGTGGTTCCCACTAGTTAATTGTTCTAACTGTCAGGAAATTTCTCCTTAGTTCCAGGTTGCTTCTCTCCTTGGTTAGTGTCCATTCGTTGCTTCTTGTCCTGCCTTCAGGGGCTTTGGAGAATAGCTTGACTCCCTCTTCTTTGGGGCAGCCCCTGAGATACTGGAAGGCTGCTATCCTGTCCCCCCTCGTCCTTCTCTTCATTAAACTAGACATCCCCAATTCCAGCAACCATTCCTTGTATGTTTTAGCCTCCAGTCCCCTGATCATTTTTGTTGCTCTTCCCTGCACCCTTCCTAGAGTCTGAACATTTTTTTTACATTGCGGTGACCAAAACTGGATGCAGTATTCCAAGTGTGGCCTTACTAAGGCATTGTAAAGTGGTATTAATACTTCACGTGATCAGCAGTGTCGTATAAAGGGGTTCAGGGATTGTCTGTCCCTCCCTGAAAAACCCACTCCCATTCCACTAGCTTTGCAACTAGGATAAAATGCACACAGGACTTGAGTGGTGCTTACCTCTCCAGCAAAGAAATAATGGTTAAACATGTTATAGTGGCAAAAGTCCTCCTGGGGGTAGAACTGAGAATACCTGTAAAGAAATTGTTTCTTATTAGGTTTACACATGAGATATCAGCAGTCAAAGTATAGATATACGATCAGTTGAACTCAGCAGAAAGAAATCTTAGTTCCTTTTCTCCCTTGACATTCAGCTACTCAAATGTTTCCTAAAAGTCCATCCGTCTTTCCTTTCCTTTCCTTTCTTATCTTTTTTACTTCCCTCCTTCCTTCCTTTCCTATCTTCCTTCCTTCCCTCCCCATCTTCCTTCCTCCCTATCTTCCTTCCTTCCTTCCTATTCACCCTCCCTTCTTTTCCCTCCCTTCTTTCTTTTTCTCTTCCTTTCTCTCTGTGATTGTAGGCTGAGAACGATCTGCGTAGGGATGGCACAATGGAGAGGCATGGAAATAAAGCAACTGTCGGAAAGAGAAAGAACAGAGGAGAGCGTTATCCCTTAATAAAAACCCTACCTGAAATCAATATCGAGCAAAAGACTCTTCATCGCCATCTGCCCTTTGGGTGACGCTTCCAATTTGATCAGTTCGTGAAGCCTGAAAAAATATGGATAATTAGAATAGAATAGAATAGAATAGAATAAGGAATAGGAATAGGAATAGGAATAGAATAGAATAGAATAGAATAGAATAGAATAGAATAAGGAATAGGAATAGGAAAGAATAGAATAGAATAGAATAGAATAGAATAGAATAAGGAATAGGAATAGGAATAGGAATAGAATAGAATAGAATAGAATAGAATAGAATAGAATAGAATAGAATAAGGTAATGGAACCCAGAATTAAAGAGGAATTTCGTGACAGTGAGAGAACAATTTTTGTTGAGAGAGAACAATTAACCAGTGGAACACCTTGCTTCTAGAAGTTGTAGGTGCTCCAACACTGGAGCTTTTTAAAAAAGAGATTGGACAACCATTTATCTGGAATCGTACACTAGTACAAGGTCTCCTGCTTGAGCAGGGGGTTGGACTAGAAGACCTCCAAGGTCCCTTCCAACTCTTGTCATTCTGTAACTTTGGCCCCATGTTTATTCAAGGCCAAAGGCCAAAGGCCACCCCTTGGTTAAGGCCAACAGTGTTGAGGACACTTAAGGGCTCACCTTGGCGTGCCCACACACAGCACCCTTTGGAAACCTTGCGCGACGAGAAGATCCAAGAGGAAGCGGCAACTCCTGTCGGTGAAGAGATACTGGGCGTTCGTCTTCTTGTTCTCCAGAGCAGCGAGGAGTTGGCTAGGTCTTCCTAGCTGGGCAGCCGAGATACCAGTGAGTACTGGATGGCCAGAGTGTCTTTCCCATTCCGATGGCAACAGGAGCTGTTGACATTCCTGACAAAACTTCCTTTTTGGTGTTGGTAGAGCGATGAATTCCTTGTACCTAACAGCAGAAAAGTCACTGGTGTAAGGGCATTGCCTCGAAGTTCCCGCCCCTTTAACTGATGCGCCCGCCCACTCAGATTTCAAATTTGGGGGGCAACGGTTTGTCTTCTATTTATGGAGTAGCCCTTCCCCTTGTCCTCCCCAAAATATCTGCTTCCAATAGGAGAGAGGATCTGTAGCTCAGCGTTCCATTATGGAGTTTTTGAAGCTCTTTTGGTTGTTTTCTTGCAGACATTTCACTACCCTACTAGGTACCATCATTAGGGTGAGTGAGTGTGGGGTTTGTCGTCTGTTTAGATGTAGTAGCTACTCACTCATGTTGGGAAATGAACTTCTGCAAGCAGATAATCCATCTTGGAGAGCACCAAGGATTCAACCCCACACACAACGAATTCACGTTTCGTGGTTTATATAAAGGAAATGTTTTAGATATTGAAGTGAAACTGATCTTGAAGAAAAGTTCGAATGGATAAAAATGTTTTGGTTAGATCTACAAGATTAGATAATTGGATTTATTAAACGGAACGCTTAAAGATTAAACATGTGCTTGAATGTGGTTAAAAACAAGAGAAAAAATCTGGATGTAAATGTACATTAGTCGAAGAGGGATATGTATTTTAAATAATATAACTATTTTCTTATTTCTTTTTCTTTTCTTTTTTTTCTTTTTTCCTTTTTTTAAGATATGAGAAATGTAAAAGTGTTGGGATGGCCTGTAGGAGGAAAAAAGACTTAAAATATTTAAGCGTCATGAAAATCTTAACCGGTAAGAATGTTTTGAATATTATGGGGAAAACAAATTTAAATAAGAACTTTAAACAGGATCTATGATAAGGCAATCAAGATGATCAGTTAGAAAAGAAGCTTTATATCAATGTGGTTATTATTTGCAGAAATATTAGAAAAAACGTCTATATTTAACTGTTATTTATCCAAATAATAAGAATTGCATTTATTCAAGGTTGGAAAAAAGAGAACACTTTTGGAAGAAGAGAACATCAAGCAAAACTATTATGTGGACTAAAGAATTATAGAATCTAATTATTGATTGTTTTTTAAATATAAACCCAGACAACATGATGTTTACCAAATATTAAGGTGATTATGTAAAAAAAATCAATAAAACATTTTTTTTTAAAATTCTTTTCTTGCAGACATTTCATTACCCAACTAGGTACCATCGTCAGGGTGAGTGAGTGCGGGGTTTGTCGTCTGTTTAGATGTAGTAGCTACTCACTCACAATGTTGGGAAATGAACTTCTGCAAGCAAATAATCCATCTTGGAGAGCATTCAACCCCAGATGATGAATTCAGGTTTCATTATTCCACCTTTTACAACACGGAGGGGATCAAATTTCCTTTTAATTCTTAATTTTTTAAGGAATGATCCAGTGCCATTTACTACAGAAAGCTGAGTATCTGTTTCAGGTAACCAGCGAAAAGACATTTAATTTTCAACTGAGTAAGGAAAACAAAGTAAGCATTTGAACCCAGACAATTTACCTTTTTACATTGTCTGAATGAGTTTTAGATGGCCGGTGACTCCGATTGTATTTTTCCCGGGCTGAAAGACGGGCTTCTGATATCTAAGAAAGATGTAGAGGGAAAAAAAATGAAAGAATGAGAAAGAATTACTACGAATAGTCCTCGCCTTACAACGGTTCATTTAGTGACCCTTCCAAGTTACAACAGCACTGAAAAAAATGACTTGCGATTTTTCATATTTATAACCGTCGTATCCTCCCCTTGGTCACGTGATCAAAATTCTCACCCTTGGCAACTGACTCATATTTGCGACGGCTGCAACATACCCAGGGGTCACGTGATCACCTTCTGACAAGCCAGAGTGCCTCAACAACCGTGTTTCTAACTTAATAACTGCGATGATTCACTTAAGAACGGCGGCAACGGAGGTCGTAAAAATGGGGCAAAACTCGCTTAACCAATGTCTCACTTAGCAACGGAAATTCTGGGCTCAACTGTGGTCGTAAATCCAGGACTACCGGTAGTATAGTTTTCAAGATTTCTGCCAAATGCAAGTTCGATTTTTTCTCTCTGAATTTCTGGTTCAGAAAGTAAAAAAAAAATTCTTCTAACTCAAAGCTCTTACATGTGTATGTATGTTTACATGCGTGTATGTGTATGTATTTATATGCGTGTGTGCGTGTATTTATGTGTGCGTGTATGTGTATTTATATGTTTGTGTATGTGTATTTATATGCGTGTATGTGTATTTATATGCGTGTATGTATATTTATGTGTATGTGTATTTATGTGTGTGTGTATTTATATGCGTTTGTGTATGTATATGTATTTATATGCATGTGTATTTATATGTGTGCATGTATGTGTATTTATATGCATTTGTGCATGTGTATTTTATATGCGTGTGTGTATTTATATGCGTTTGTGTATGTATATTTATATGCATGTGTGCATGTGTATTTATATGCGTGTGTATTTATATGCGTTTGTGTATGTATATTTATATGCATGTGTGTGTATATGCGTTTGTGTATTTGTGTATGTGTATATTTATGTGTGATTGTGTATTTATGAGTATGCTTATGTGTATTTATATGCGTTTGTGTATACTTATATGCGTTTATGCGTTTGTGTATGTGTATTTATATGCGCTTATGCGTTTGTGTATGTGTATACTGTATGCATATGCGTATGTGTATTTATATGCATTTGTGTATGTGTATTTATATGTGTATGTGTATATTTCCTCCCCACCCCCTTTATTTTGGAACAACTGATAAATACTGTAGAAAATTACTTTTGTTTTATTTTTAAGCAAGATACGCCCACCTTTAGATTTTTGCCTTCCTTCTCCTACATTCTGTTTTCTCTCTTCTACCAGAATCACCAGAAATTTATAGGTTTATATTTTTTTTAAAAAAAGATCCCATTACCATCCAAGTTTTTTGAAACCTGCAAATTTCAAACACAGCCATTTACGTGTAGGAATAATTCCTCCCCTGCAAGACACGTCCTTAAGGAGAACACGAACATCCCTTGAGAAGCAAAAGGAGAATAACGCTGTTATAACATCTTTGACTTACCTTTTCATCCTCCCACTGGAAAAAATTGCAGTCTTTTCTCTCTCGGCACGCAGAACAAGCGTAAAATCTTCTCGCCTTTGCTTTCCCTGGGAGAACCCTCGTAAACAAAACTGTGGGACCTAGCAAAATAAAAAATAACCGGAAACGGGGAAGTGGAAACGATAAAATTATTGCAATTTGTTGGTCGAGTAATTTGTTTTATTTACTCCGCTCGGATATTTGGAATCATTCCTAATAAGGTCGTTTCCAAAGGAATAAGAAATAAGGGGCCTTTAAATCAGCTCCCGTTTCGGTCGGTGCTTTGAAAAGGCATTTGAGGACATACAGAATCACCAGGGT